GAAGTAGAGATGAGTGGGAAGGAAGTAGACAGGCTCCTGCGGGAGCGGGCACTGCTGCGGCAGTGGGAAGTAAAGATACAGGCTCCTGCGGGAGTGGGCACTTCGGTGATAACTGAAAAGAATCTCTGGCTCCTGGGTACCGCTGTGGCATCTGAAGAGAGAAAGTGGCTTCTGCGGAAGCGGGCACTGCTGTGGAATCTGAAAAGAGAATGTGGCTTCTGCGGAATCGGACACTGCTGCTGTGGAAATGAGCTGATGAGGGTTTGGTATGGTTGGATTAGTGACTGGAGATTGAAGATATAATGAAGTGGCCTCTTTTCAGTTGGTCTGTCTTGCTTGCTTAATGAATAAGAGATTGATTTGGTATCTAGCACTGATAGGTCTGATAAGGTTGGGTAGATTTTTGGATTGAAGCAGGACGTGACGGTGAGTTCCGAGCATCTGAGGAAACCAAAGAAGGCCAATATGAACATGCCGTCGAGCGTGCGGGCGTTGTGAATGGAGTGGTAGCCGGAGGGTGGAAATGCATTTGGTTAAGATATCTAGAGTTATTGGCTGTCTAGCGTCTGGGCGGGTGGATTGGGCTCTTTGGATGCCTTTGATGAGCATGGATGTCTATGAGCTGGCTATTTCTGGGGAGGGTGAGCCGAACATGAGCTTGTGGAAAAACTGAATTCTGCTTAGGTAGCCTTTGATGGAGCTGGCTTGGAGTTATTCGTTGGCATTGAGATGGGAGATGAATGAGGTGAAGGTGAGCATGGAAACATCAGGGAAGGGCAGGTTGTAAGCATGGTGAATTTTATTTATTTTTTTAAACCATTCCAAGCGGTTAAGTAGGATTGGAGGGTCCTGGGGAGACGGCCTGGAGAATAGAACTGAGGGAGTGCTTCGTTATAGCAATGCGCTACGATGCTGGTGGTGAACCATTCTTTCCCCCACAGGGCCGCTGCAGCGACTAGAGGATAACTCGATATAACTCTAGATGCGTGGCTGGGATGGAGCCGGGAGGCGAGATGATCAAAAATAGTCTAAAAGGTGGATGGGGTAAGGGATTGCGTAATTATTGGAGAGAATCTAGCAGATAGCCTCTGATAACATTTTGAACATTTTTGGTTTGCTATGGGAGCTGGAGGCCACTGAAAAGAAAAAGGGGTTATTAGGAGGATAACTCGATATAACTCTATATAACTCTAGATGCGTGGCTGGGATGGAGCCGGGAGGCGAGATGATCAAAAATAGTCTAAAAGGTGGATGGGGTAAGGGATTGCGTAATTATTGGAGAGAATCTAGCAGATAGCCTCTGATAACATTTTGAACATTTTTGGTTTGCTATGGGAGCTGGAGGCCACTGAAAAGAAAAAGGGGTTGTTAGTAATGGGTGGAAAAGACTGAGATGTGTGGGCCTTTGTTGCAGGCGGAGGCAGCCTCTAGGCCACAGGAAGTAAGCTGGGTTTGTGACATCCTGAAGAGCCTGTGCCGCTAGCGGAGGCTATGGTAGCTGGAGGCCACTGAACAGAAATATGGTTATTAGTAGCATGAGGGAGCGGAAGAGAAGTGGGCCTGTGTTACAAATGGAGGCAGCCTCACGTTTGCTTCAGCTGCTGTAGCTGTAGGCCATGGGAAGGGGGTGGGGTTTGTGACGTCCTGAAGAGCCCGTGTTGCCTGCACTGCTAGCGGAGGCAGCCTCACGTTAGCGTCTGCTACGGGAGCTGGAGGCCGCTGAAAGGAAAAAATGTGGGTTAGAAGTAACAGGATGGAAATACTGAGATGTGAGGGCCTGTGTTGCAAGCGGAAGCAGCTTCGCGCTTTGCTTTGGCTGCTGTAGCTGTAGGCTGCGGGAAAGTGTAAGGGTTAGTGACATTTAGCGGGACAAGCTGAAATGCCTGGGTAGCCTGCAGTGTTGCCGACTTAGCAATTTGTTTCTAGATTTGGCAACTCCTCAAGCCTTGTCCACATTAATACGTTTCCATTGAAAACGCATCTTTTCCTCTCGTTTTGGACTTCCATCCACACTAAGACAAGGAGTCCAGGAAAACAGCTTTTGAAAAGCTCTCTAGAGCAGATATATTTGAAAACGCTGTTTTCACGTTGTAGTATGGACTGTGGAAACGGAGGCTTTTGAAAACAATGACGCATGTTTAGTCATGTGACGCATATTGTACCAATAGATATGTTTAACCGGTAACGTTAATTGTGCAGTTATGTGCTATTCACTTTCACACTGTTGCTAAAGATATTTACTTTGCACACTCTTCATATTACAGTCCTAAAAAGACAACAGAAAATTGTCTTTTTAGAAAAAAAACACGAGGGCAGTTGCGTTTTAGATCCATTCGGAGTGAGCGTGCCGTGGATGATGAAATATTTCCGTAAATGAATTGATCCTGGCAGAAGAATTGTGTGAAACTTATTATGTCTGTTCCGTCTGTATCATCTCAGTGAGGTTTAATACATGCACAGTAAGGCGAATGTAACACTTTCAGACATTTCAGTGTGGATGATAACTTTGGAAAAATGCCTTGTTTGCTTCATGGTTACAAAATGGCATCAACATCCATTTATGTCATAACTTCGTTTAACTTCGCATAACTTCGAGGAGAGCCGGGTCTTGTGCAGGACGAAGGTGGTGTCGAGCAAGGCAAGCTCAGGGCTTTGGTCTATTGGCCACCTTGGCAGCTGGAGTGGATTTAGGAGTGAGGTTGGCTAATTTGCAGGGTGACAAATAGATCGTACAGATCCGCTTTGTTTACCCTCCGCGAGAACGGTGCGTTGGAATTAATCAGCATTTGCCTCGGGCTTAAATACTGTCCACTTTCCAATCGGAGGAGTTGCTGGTATGGCCGAATGATACGAGAGCAGTGTGAGAGATTGATAGAAGAGCGTGTGGCTGGTCGAGAAGAGCGGCGGCTGCGATGAAACTTGGTGCTCGTGTCTGGCGGAGAAGGAGTGATCATGGGACCTGCAAATTGCAGCGGAGGATCTGAAAAATCCCCAGTATTGGTCTCGTCGTTGGACGGGAAAAATTGGGTCTGTGATAAAAAGGCAAAGGAGCGAACCGAATGCTGGAATACTGTAGAGAATGAAGGTAAGACGGCTTGGGCTATTTATAGAAGTTCTCTCTCGAGCTGATAGGATAGATGGTGTAATTGCTGATGATGAATTGGCTGGGTTAATTATCTGAACGTGCTCCTCCCGAACTTTGTTAATAAAACATCATTTAGTTGATCTATAGTGGATGATGGTCAAAGTAGCCTATAATGTAGTCTATTAACTATGCATAAAAACCTGTCTGTTTACTTAATTAACAGATATGGGTGTCATGCCATAACAGTTTTAATACGACTGACTTTATATTTAATGTGAATTTAACAGAAATTTAATGTGAATAAAAACATTGTAAGTTAGGCTACTTATCATAAAACTTTCATTGAAGAGAGCAGAGAACATTTACATTATCAAAGAACATTTTCACTGACAGCCTAGAGTTCAAGCTAGGTTTGCCAACCGTCTCGTATTTTGGGCCTAATTGATTTGTCCCGTACGTGACTTCCCTTGTCCGCTATGCTGATCTAACCACTGACTGATACAACAGCAGCAGTGCTGATCACTTGAGAATGATCACTGATACCTGTCATCATCCAATCACAGCCCCCCTTCACGCAGTATACGTTAAGTAAATCAGAAATCGTGAACATATCTGTTCGAGGAAGGCTGCGCAATCCTTTGCCGGCTCGTCGCTCCCGCCTCCTAGCAAACGGTGCTAACGCCAATTCCGTCCGTGTTTTCACTTCAGTAAATCAGTTTTGGTGAATACAAACTACGTGATTATTTTTCATGAGTCCAACATCCCGCCGCGCAAGAGACGTGACCAGTAAGGGAAGTCGTCTTTCACTATTGTAATGTTGTTAAATAGAGAAAAACATTTTATATTTAAGTAACTAATAGCATAATTCTTAACCTTGGACCTTATTCTTGAAACACAAAATGAACAATAAAAAGGTGTCAAGCACCAAAAGCAGCCCATATCAAATCTATAAGCTGTCTTTAATTGAAAAATACACATTTTCATGCATACTATATATGTGTGTGTGAGTGTGTGTATACACTGTCACAAACCGTGCATTCGTAAGCTCAACAGCATTGTGTGTGACTGGTTATAATGCAGCGCTGTACAAACGCGTCCGTCTCTGGCTCAGCGCCAGCCAGTGAACGCAGATTTGAATTTAGCAGCTGATGATATGACGCGCTGAACGATTTAATCACGCTGGTGTGATTGTATCAAATATACAAAATATTATTCGGCTATTTTTTGTCTTTTGGAAGCTGCATTCAAAATCCACTTGGCTCAAAAATCTGTCTTTGAATGGGCATGACGCCTCTGCTTGCAACATTACTTGGCAATATTTTAAAGATATTACTTTTGGTATTTTGCATGGTCTGTTATTGGAGTAGTGTCACCGGGGTGAGAGTTTTAACTCCCATTCACTTGGAATAATAAATGCAGAGACATATATACACCGGGGGAATCCCCCATCTCCCCGCCCCTCTGAATAATAATTACGTATCATAACGTAACTTTGTGTAAACGTTATTTGGCCATTTTTACTTGGAAAAGAAGCTACACGTTTTTCTAGCATTCGAAAAACAATGGATAAGCCTGAAACGATAGAAGTAGTATTGGGGATGAATTTCATTTACAAATAAGGTAGGAAATGTGGATACTTTTAAATAAACAACCAGCCACGTTTTTTCCCTCTTTGAGTGTGTCGTAAAAGACGATGAGGAGATGGTGGGGGGGTCATAATCTTAGCACTCAGCATACCCGGTTAAAAAAAGTCACCGCTCACCACTGAAGAAAGTGCCATTATTACAATTTAAAATAACTCTTTTCATTTTTAATGTATTTAAAAAATATTTAATTTATTCCTCTGATGAAAAGCTGAATTTTCAGCAGCCATTACTCCAGTCTTCGGCATCCTATGATCACTCAGAAATCATTCGAATATGCTCATTTTGTGTTCAAGTAACATTTCTTCTTTTCAATTTTAAAAGCAGTTTTGCTGCTTCATATTTTTGTGAAAACTATGTTTTTGGATTCTCTGATTATTAGAAAGTTCAAAAACAAACAAACAAACAAACAAAATTAAAAACAGCAACATTTATTTGAAATACATATTGTTTCTTTGGTAACAATGTTAAATGTAATGCCTCCTTTCTCAGTTAAAGTACTAATTTCTTTAATATTTAATATTACTGCAGAATTATAAAAAAAAAAAAAAAAAAGAAGATTAATGCTGCAGTCCGTAACTTTTTTTTGGTTAAAAATGATCCAAAATCAATTTTTGAGCAAGTACAGTACATAACCAGGCAGTGTTAAAAAAATATCTCCTTACCTTAGCTCAATTCACAACGGTAAGCTTATAATAATGTTTTCTAATTTGAGTGGTACTGGTAGGAATTCACGGGAAATTCGAGCACGCCGCCACGTCATTACATCACGTCTGTAAACAAAGGCGGCGTCCAGGCTAGTAGGCTATAATGCATGTGAGGATGCTGCAGGTGGCAGATCATTAATAGCCTTTTCTCACAGCAGCTAGAATAATTAAATTTATAATTTTGATGCCGGATTGTAGGTAATCCATAAAGGATTATGCGTTTATGAAACACATGTGACTGAAATTAGATTACATTCCTGTTTTACATGTGCATCTGATTACAGATAGCACAAGATTACACAAGATTTGTATTTTAAAGAGAACCAGTTCAAAGAAAGAATAATTAGCTTTTTGGGTTAAAATAATTTATTTATATGAAATTCGAATGGTATGACAACTAGAGATTAGACTGTACAGAAATTTAAATCTACATGCTAATACACACCACATACACGTAGTCAGGCAATGCTGATGTTGTTAACATTAACAATTTGAGAACAGTATAATAATAATAATAATTTGCACGGTTTGATGTGATATGAGTTAACCGATAGTTAGATTTAATCACCATTGGTAGCGCACGCAATTTATTGTAATGCTTTTTTCCTCAGTTGGCCAGAACAAAAGTGGCAGACTTGTTATTTGTTCAGATGACAATATCCGGTGAAAATTCTTATTTGGGTCATATACTCCAAGACGCAGGCTGAAATCTGAAGTACAGCATCCACACCGGTGCAGTGATTGACAGCCACACATACTCCTCAAAACATTAGATTAATCCGCGCTGGAGCCATGCGGGTGCTCAACCCACGCAAAGAAGATAATTCTGCAAATAACTGCAATTGCATGTTTCAAACAGAGATGGTGGTGACAGAGAGGCAAAACTTACAGACTGCAGCTTTAAGAATCCATTTAAAATTAGATTGTGATTCCCAGAATCAGATCGGATCATGAGGCACCAAAACATTCCCAATTAATTGTAATGTTTTATGTTGTTTTATGTTAAATCTGAAATTAAGTGTAAACATTGACTCTAGCATACCTTCAGTCCATTCTGTGGATTCATGAGAAAGTTTCTTCCGATGTCATCAAACATAATTGTGTTCTTCCTGTTGTAGAACTCACTATATTTACCCCATATGACTCCTAAAGGCTTCACCTGAAACATTACAAGTACACATTATGCACTAATGGGACACTGGGGTTTAAAAGACAATTAATATTAATTTCTACTATTGATTTAACTGCACTGCCACTATCGGACGAGAACAAAATTTGAACTGAATTGAGCAGGAACTGCAACATTGACACTGTTATTGAACTGAACTAAATTAATATTGAACTGACTTATAATGACTGACTGAATGATGAGACTATTGCCTTCTGTAAAGCTGCTTATTGCTGAATTAAAATACAATTCATAATTGATTAATTTTGCAACATGGACAGTGTTAAAAACTGAACTAAATTGAGCTGAATAATGGCACTAGTGTCTTTGTAGAGCTGCATTAGAGTTGAAATTTAATTTGTTTTATAATTGATTAATTTTATATCATTAACAGCTATTTTCATGTTTATTAATGTGATGTTGCTTTGAAACAACATGTACTTTATAAACAATTTATACGCTATAACTCTAAATAAATGTGACTTGACAGAGACAATGATGTGTTGTTGTTTTTCTAGAATGTCTGACCTCTACGACTCCTCTTTTAGGTGTGTGCACAGTGATCATAGCTGCACTATCCAACATGAAGGTGATCTTATAGTTTGGGTTGTCAGTCACCCCCAGTTCCTAAAAAAAAACAGATCCAATATGTTAATGCAAGTAAAGGAGGCCTCAACAGTATCATCATAACCTGAGGCACATTTGAGGCTTGTGGGAAAACTGCACATTTCAGTGAAAAATCATTACAGCGCATCATAATATTTATATGAATTATGGCCTTCCATTATAATGCGGAAAACAAAATATATAATTGGACCTACTTTCATTTTAGCATCAATCCACTTCATACTTGTTGCAGCTGAAAAGACATGAAAGGTGAACAAAAGATCTGAGTTCTTGAGCATCAGGAAAAGATTCTGCAAGACTTAATTGTCTAGATAGATACTTACACCAGATGACAATATCGTAGTCCTCATATGCTGATGTAAGAAATTGATGCAAGTATGGTCTCATCAGCTCCTGGCCTGTTTCTGCACATGACTTATGATCTACATTTATAGAAAAAAAAACAAAAAAACATTAACAATATACTTGGGATGCACCGATACCATTTAAAGACCGAGTACGAGTACCAATATTTTTTTTCCTGGTACTCGCCGATACCGATACCTGTTTTTGGGATGTGGCAGTTTCCAAGTACTGACAAAGTGAAAGTAATAATTTTAGGACAGCTTCTCTGTAATTATGAACAACCGTAACTCAAAACTATTTTTTTTTCTGCTTGTCACAAGGTTGTCAAAGTATAATCCATTTTCACAGTATCTAATAATTTCCACAACCAAACCAAGGGCATAATAAAAAAAAAACAAAACAAAAAAAATATCTATCAACCTGTCACAAAGTTGTCAAAAAGCTACAAACTAATTTCAATGAACAAATATTTATAAAACTTTGTAAATGTTCAATGTTGTGTAACAATCAAAAGTGTACAGCGAAATATAAGTGAACTGTCTGATCACGGTAAGCAACACAATAATTGTAAGTGTACGTTTTCATAAGCCATTAGTTAAGGATGTTCCTCAGAACATTTGTACAGTATGTTTTTGATTTTGCAATAATTTTTGTAAGATGAAAAGTACAAAAGGCAGTCAATCAGTTTGGATTTTTCAAAAGTAAGTGGCAGGGTTTTTTCTTTTTTAAGGAACAGAAGCATCTCTGCATGTTCAGCTACAAGCCTGCTTTTGTTGTCAGTCAGAATGTGTGACACTGAGCTGAACAGTCTTTCAGTTTCCACACTGCTGCATGGGGCTGAAAGATATTTTTGTGCCATTCGAACCAGAGCAGGAAATCGCAGATTATTGACTGCCCAGTACATAAAGGGTTTCTCTGAACGATGCATAGTGGTCTCTCCAAGGTATGCTTCCATTTGTATGGTAGTGGCTGTTGGAGCTCTGTTCTCAGATGTAGATGCACATCCATCTGCAATTTCTTCAAAAACACTGTCCAGACTGCTACCTGGCTTGTCACTGTGAGACCTTTTGTCAGCTGGTGCGCCATGTGTCTCAGGTGTGGCTGTCTCTCCCACAAATTTTTTTTACAGCTCCAGTATCAACATTTCTTGGGCCTGCCTGACAGTGTCTGTGTTGGAGAAGAATCAATCTTTATACCTTGAACAAAAAACAATGATGACATTAGCATTTGTTCTGTGCAGTTAAAAAAATATAAGAAGAAATATAAATTACTCTTGCATTTTTGAATCTATTTCCCTATCACCCCATTTAATCTTTTATATTTTATTATAATGAGCAAATTAATTAATTAATTAAGATTGAGCACAAAAATAGGCCTATTGATTACCTCGTATCAAGTAAACTTGCAATGCAGTAAAGCGGGTTTTGCTCCATGTTGGAAAAGCGCCTCTGCAAAGAATCTAGCGAAGTGCTCTTCATTGTTTTGATTCCGTGGTCCTCATCCATTTGTTTCAGCAACAGTCTTTGTAGCACAGTGACAGCAGGAATTACATCGGAGGCTAAAGCATCTGAAGAACTCACTTGACGAGTCATTTCCTCATAGGGAGCCAAGACATTTACCATCTTCTCCATAAGATTCCACTGGTTTGCAGTTAGAGTGGCAGGGAGCTCGTTTTCAGACACATATACTCCAATCAACCTTTTTTGCTCAATCAGAGACTGCACCATGTAGAATGTGCTATTCCAATGAGTCTGCTCGTCTTGCTGATGTCTTTTTATTGGTTGACCGAGCGGTGTCTGAATATCCTGTAACCAAGAGTATGCCAGGTTGGAGTGTTTAAAGTGGCCGACTATTTAGCGCCCGACTCCCACAGCCTCCGTAACACTGCGCTGTGATAACAGACCCTCTGTGACGGTCAGCTGCAGAGTATGTGCCACACACAGAAGACTAGAAACTCCGGCCTCCTCCATGCACTTTACCATTGTCACGGACCACAACATGGACAGAACTTTTAGGAGTTGCCCAAGTTGCAAGCATTTCCTCAAATACGCTCGCTGTCGCTCGACCCGTATGTGAGCCCCGAAAATGCTTTGCATGAAGCCTGATTTGTCGTAGAGTGAAATCGCCATCTATCCATTGTGCTATTAAGCTGATGAGAGACACTGGATTTACACTACAACTCCAAATGTCAGTGGTAAAGCTAATTGCTTTTATGTCATGCAGCATGCTCACGGCATGCTTTTTCACTGCGTCATGTATTTGTGGCAATACGACATCTGTGACATGACGGCGACTGGGAATCTCATACTTCGGCTCCAAAACATTAAGGCAGCGACGAAATCCCACGTTATCAACAACTGAAAACGGTTGATCATCAAGAACAATGAATTGGGTAAGCACCTCTGTTATTTGTTTGGCTCTCGGGTTATCTCTTGTCATTTCCTCTCGTCTTGCAAGGGTTTGCTGCATTGCTGAGTGCTAACGTTACTGCTAGAGGCAAATTCTGTGTGCTCACTTTTGTGTTTCAGTTTCATTTGTTTTATCAGATTACTCATATTATAAGTACCACTTTTTGTACCTCCTCTTGCTATTTTTGCAAAGCAAAGTTTGCAGTCTGCCATGCATGGGTTGTTTTGAAATTTTGAAATATTTCCACACCGATGAGCCTGACATTCTGTTGCTGCTGCCGAAGTCGGTGCACTGAAAGTTCTGTCGATGACGTCACAAGGTATCAGTCTTTGGTATCGGAGTGTTTTTACAAGTACAAGTACGAGTACATGAGCTCAGTATTGGGCGCGATACTGACACTGGTATGCCTATAATATACTCTACAACACATACACACAGATTATAGGAGGGTGTACTCAGTTTTGCAACAACATTTTATCACTTTGATAAGAAAAATCTTATTTTCCTGAATAATTTTACATGCTACTTTGGTACTTGCTGGAACATTATATCTTCAAAGAACCCTAATATTTCTTTAAGTAAAGATTAATTGCTGTATTAGATGAGTTTTAGAGGGGTGAGTACTTCATGCTGAGTACTGTATATACTGTATGAGGTCAAAGAAAAAAGGGGTTTATATACACTAAAAAAAATATAGTCAGGCATATTCAAAACAAGAATAATTTAATGACATACTAAAAGTGCAGCCCACAAATACTAATTAATTGTAATTTTAAATCTTTATACTTTGCCACCATCCTTCAAACAACTAGATTGCCTATTTGTCAGCAAGTTTTTATAACAGCTGAGTAAATGACAGCAGAAGCAGATGTTAATAAAATGCATAAATAAAATGCATTTTATTCTACTGTTCTGATGTTCCCTGTCATGCATGCTTAGCTTGTCACTTTGTTTCTGATATGCTTTGCCCCAGCAATTACTGCTTGCAGCTATATTTATGAATACCTTCGGTTTGCCAACATAAATTGTTATCAGGATACATGTTTTGTGTGGAGAATCCTCTTAATGGTCTCTCTCTTGAGCTTGTGACATTTTGAAGGGAGACTCTCTGTTTAGAAATATTGGTAAGCTATTATTCTGACAATTGCAAGCCTCAATACCTTTCTCACTTCCTTGCTTGAGTGCCACCCAAGCTATTGGGTTTACTTTTTGGCAGTGCCTAGCAACTTTTGTGGGCATCTAAAATAAATCAATCAATGTAACAAAACAATACATAAATGCACAAAAATATTATGTTTAACATATTTGTTAATTCTAATTCTATTTTATCTATTTGTTTTATTTTTTATTAAAAAAGCTCTCTTAACACTTGCACTGTTTTCTAACTGCTTTTTTTCATTTAAAAAAGCCTCTGACACTCTATATTCTTTTTTTCTATTCTACTTGTTTTCTTTTTATTTATTATAAAAAACCCTCTAACACTATTGTTCCCTATTCTTGTTCTATTCTATCTACTTGTTTTCTTTTTTTATCTTTATTTCTTTTTTAATTTTGTTTATATATTTTTACACAAATGTACAACATATATAAAAACATTGAATAAGCGTTGTATGAATTGTATATGTCTGAGGGAAATGTAGCCTACTATTTAAGTTAAGGGAATGTGTTTTTTCATCTTGTTTGATCCATAAAACACAATGTCAAAAGCTGTGCTACTATAATGAATTTTAGTTTTAATTTTAATGTGTTGTATTATATTTGTGTGTTTCCATGAAGTGAAAAGATGCATGAAGAGATTGCACGGTCTCTCTCTTTTTGAAGCTTAATACGACTAAAGTTCACCGAAAGCTTTGAAACGTGTAATGTAAACTACAGTAACGTTAATATGCTTATTTGAAGTTAACATGGACGTGTCGAATGGGTTTTTGCGTGTGTAAACCTTTGCACTCCCGTGAAGTTAAAAGTTGACATTAAACGCGTCTAACAACCTGCCATGCTGAAATGTCGCTCTTTTCAAACGGGGCGGATTACACAGCGTTTCTGGTATTGCGGTCAAGCCAGCCGCGCTTTGAAAATACACGGTCAAGCCAGCCTCACTTTTTTTTGACTTGCGCGTGTAATCGTGTACTTACGGTACGGGTGCTGAGAGCAGTTGAGCAAGAAGCTGTCATACCGACGTTTCCTTTATACTTTTGGTTATTTTAACTTTTACTTTTAGTTTGTAAATACATTATTTTTGTACATAAACGATTGTATTGTACATTAATTATTATAAATAATTTATTAATGTTTATAAATGTTAATATTAATGTGTTTTATTGATTGTTTTTTTTATTTAATGTTTGTGTGTGTGTGAGTGTGTATATATATATATATATATATATAATGTATGTACATATGTGTGTGTAACAACAAAATGCGTCCAAGCACTTCCACTGTGTCCCATATTCCAACAGTCATAAAAAGTGTCCCTTTATAGGTAGCTCATTCTTTCAATTCATATGTATTCAGAGTGACCCTGACTACAGCGTCGGCGCCACGGGGGGGCCTGGCCCGGCCACCTCGGTCACTGTGCCCCCTCACCTCTGGTGCCGTCTCCGTAGTGGGCGCCCTGATTTTAGTCGGTGAGGCAAGGTACTGCCCTGGGAAGGTCTCCCAGGCTGTTAAA